CCCCAAAACCCCAAAACCCCAAAACCCCAAAACCCCTATTCCTTTTAAAAATATGGAAATAGCTAATAATATATAAAAATGAAGTATACCATCCTGGCCCTATTGGTAATAGTAATTGCCTTTGCCAGTGCTAAGTCATCCCTTAATAATGAATTCGAATTCCTCTTGAAGGGACACGTACCAGCCAGTAACAGTGCTGTTCTTGGAATGTACGAGGCCTTCCTCCAAAAATATAAGGGCAAGACCTTTGAAGTCAACCATGACATGGACAGATTCATGACCTTCAAGGCTAATGTTGAGAGAATCATTGCTCATAATTCCAACCCTGAGAGAACTTTCGATATGGGAATCAACCATTTGTCTGACCTGACTCAAAAGGAGAGATTAGCTTATTATAATCTGATGGATCCTCAGAACTGCTCAGCTACTGCTTCTAAGAGAAGAGTCTATAATGCCGAGGCTCCAGATTACTTCAACTGGGTTGACCAGGATGTCGTTTCCCCTGTTAAGGACCAGAAGAGCTGCGGAAGTTGCTGGACATTCTCCACAACTGGAGCAATTGAATCTCACTACAAGATTAATACAGGAGAAGAGGAACTCTTCTCAGAGCAAGAACTTATTGATTGTCCTGATGCTGAGAGATATGACACTCATGGATGTAAAGGAGGTCTCCCATCATATGCTTTCAACTTCATTAAAGAAGTTGGATTAGAAACTGAGAACAGCTACCCATACCTTGCTAGAGACTCTGTCTGCACTTACGATGCTGAAGAACTCAGAGTTACTACTGATGGTCCATTCAATATTACTGCTGGAGATGAAGAACAATTGAAAGAAGAACTTTTCAATAATGGTCCAGTTTCAGTGTCTTTCCATGTGAAAGAAGATTTCCTTGATTATACCTCCGGAGTATACTCAGTCTCAGACTGCCCAGATACCGAACAAGATGTGAACCATGCTGTCCTAGCTGTAGGATATGGCACCACTGATGATGGAATGGACTACTGGATTGTCAAGAACTCATGGTCTGAAGTCTGGGGAGACGAAGGATTCTTCAAGATCGAAAGAGGAGTCAACATGTGCGCCATTGCTATGTGCAACTCTTACCCACTCAATGTCAGAAAGGTATAAATCTACTTTTGATGTGTTTAAAACTTGGGTATTCATCATGTTCCTTCTCAATATTGACTCAAGAAAATGGGGTTTTGGGGTTTTGGGGTTTTGGGGTTTTGGGGTTTTGGGG